CCGCCGCCCCTATGAAAAATTTCTGTATCCGCCCCTGCATCCATGGGGTGTAGCTTGCGAGACATACGACAGGCTAATTATTAACCTCTTCAGACCCCGGGTATGCAAAAGTAACTGGATTCAGCATGTACATTTGCCGTAGGGTTTGGATTACAGGGTGAGCCAAAAATCAGTTTACACTCCATTAACATTTGCAGGGCCGTTTCTAGGGGCGGGTGAAGCGGGCGATCGCCCGGGGCGCCAGCGGGGGGGGGGGGGCGCCGTGGAAAGAAACACCATAATAAAACAGGCATTTTTTTATGTGGTTAGCGTCCACTTTATGCGAACTAGCACTAATCGGAACGATATAAAAATTAAAATTATTAATGATATTATACCGTGCAGCCTCCTCCAGTACCAGCGTACTGATTAGTTTGATAACAGTTTCATTATCAGGCAGAAGCCTCCCCCCTCCCAACTTTCCCCTCGTTTATGCGGCATGATGCCACGCTGCGACTAGGCAATGGGTATCAAGTAGGACTGTCACGATGAGTCGATGCATCGATACCACTATCGATGGTTGGAAGAATCTATAGTTTTTTCGACCATAGCGATACATGCGCAAAATGATGGGAAATGCCCCATTGGATTGAGACGAGTACAATACAGTCCGGGCGGGGAAAGGAAGAGGCGGCGTGACCCGCATGGGCTTTCAATTTATTATCACGATCAATTTCTGGAAATGCTGGACTATATGAAATAAATGAAAAAAAAATAAGACCAGTTCGAGTCGGAGACATGAAGTGGGAAAGGAGTGGGACTGATAATATTTTTTTCTCTTCTGTTTCAGTCTTCGGCTCGATCTCATGAGGTGCATGCTATGAAAGTTCATATACTCCCTTCATTTCGAAACGTACATCGGTTAATCCCCCTCTCTATAATCCTAGCTTTCTCTTTAGTATGGAGGCTTAAGTTTTGAATTTTTAACTTGCCCTGGGGAATTTTACCTCTTAAGGTGAACCCAAGGTGAGTTATTTACTCGGACGTCGCTTGAATCTAGGACTGAAGGGATGTTCCGGCAACCGCAGGTGTAGCCCCATAAACAGGTTTCCTAAGAAACACAATAATGAAAACAATTATTTTTTAAATGGTTAGCGTGGAGGAAAATGCCTTGACTTGGCTTTGATTACAGTGGATTCCGCTTTATTGGGCCATCGGTTAATAGGGGCAACCGGTTTATCGGGACATTTTGTCAGGAACAGAACCATTTCTATTCAAGTGCATATAAATATCACCGTATATTTGGGACGAATATCTGCTTTATTGGGGGCAAGGTCAGGGTGAATTTAAGCTGTCGTTCCCAGACTTTTTTTTTTCTGCCCTCTCTCTCCCTCCTCTTCGCCGTGTGTTTTGTGGTTAAGAACTGGCTGACTGTTGAAGCAGAGACCATAGCAAACAGCTTCGTGGATCTGGCTTTCTTTCTGGACCAGAGGAGCCAGCGTCAACCTATGAGGAGGGTCTGACTATTCTTGATGTCACTAACGAAGAAGCCTACGTCAACATCGACGAAAACGCACCATGCTTCGCCGAACACGATGACTCTGAGGACGATACAGTCGAGGACAGCGTTGCCATGAGGCCTCGCTTAGGGGATGTCGCAGACGAGGAACCTGAGAATTTACCTAAGGTGACTCACGTACGAAGCCAGGCGCTCGGTGGACATCCTTCAGCGCTACTTTATTGAGCAGGGTTTGGATAATAGAGAACATGGTGCTCTTGACATCGGAGCTTCAGAAAAGCTTTTTCGGATGTGAAACAAGCAACTATGGGCAAATTTCTTGAATTGTAATTTTTCGTTTTGCACAAGTAAAGGACATTCGTGTCTGGGTTTATTACTATACTAAAAGGTAAGTTCGCTTTATTAAGGCAGCCGCTTAATTGGGGCGAATAGACCCAATCAACGTGTCACAATAATGCGGAATCCACTTAATTTATAAATGTAACAAAATGACTTCCATCAGTTCCGAGGATAAGGCCCTAATCGCCAGAGCTGCGGTGGTGCTTCGCGTCGCAGTTTTTGGTTTGGTGGGTGAGGGAGGAGGGGGCGCCATTGGAACTCTTTGCCCTGGGCGCCAGTATGCCTAGAAACGGCCCTGAACATTTAGTAAACATAATAATAACTTTATGAACATTTACTAAACAAAAAATAATAATAAATCATATCAGTCCAGTGGATCTGTGTGTGCCCCATCATGTTCGAGGCACAAACTGAATTCAGCGCCAGGTCCTTCAGCACATTTCTTTAATCATCTCCTCATCAGCTGCATAAAATCAAATGTAATGTAAAGGGACTTTTGGCCCACCCTGTTTATTTGCGTGGAGTTTGAGGCAAATGTAGGCTTGCTCTCTTCACAGCCTCAAAAAAAAGGAACTGTTCGTCAACTCACGGAAGACACCATGAATCAAGAACCTGCACGCTGGTGAAATAGCCTTCTGTCCCTGATTTCATAAGTTTTAACACTTGAACTTGAAGGAAAAAATTGCCCGTGAGCATGAGGTGTATGCTTGGAGGGGATGCGCCCCCTGCTCTAGGGAAGGTGGGACTTATTCTTGCGTTCACCATTATGGAATTAATGATATGACAGTTTGATGCTTTCCTGGGTTGTTGCAATAGCAAGTTCCAAGGAAACCTGGACACAGGAGTGTTCCAGGAACAACTTCACAGAGTCAACCAGGAAATCGATAGGATGGCGAAATGTGCGTAAGTTAAGTGACCTGAACTTACGCACATTTCGCCATCTGCTGCATGAAGAAAATAAAATAAAATAAAAACATTTAAACTATCCCGCTCCATCCTAACCGGTCGGTAGCTTTCGATGTTTCAGTCTATTTTAAATGTTTAATTAAGTTCTGCCTCTAAATTTAAAAAAGATATATCTTGAAAACTATCCATCAAATAGGAAGCTGACACTTCGGCAGTAGGATCATTCCATCAATGGTCAGATTTCAGGAGCCTCGGCTGCGACACCGAGAAAAAAAAATTCATGCATGCCCGGCTCAAAATCCCAGTTGGAAACAGCTAAAATTTCCGGCAGCAGAGCTTAGAATTCGGACACATTCCTGCAGGGAAAGAGCTAGAAAGTAAAGTCAAAATTCCATATTGGATCCAAGCTGCCACATCCCCAGCGAATTGAGTGTGTTTTTATTTGCTATTCTGGCTCGACGTCCATCTATACGGAAACAGCTGAATTCCAGCGTTAAATTCAGTCGTATTCCAGCTCTTCATAAAATTCTAACAGGAATTTCCGGCTGGAAACCGCTGTTAAGACCAACTGCATTCCAGTGGTAAAACAACCTGTATTCAGCATTTTCCAGCTCTTGATCGGCTGGAAAGAGAATGAGTTTACAGCTTTGGACCAGCTGGAAAATTCCAATCGGGATTTTGAACGGGGTAGCGGTGGCCTTCCTGAGTTAAAAAAAAAAATTCATATTTTAGCACTGGGTCAAACGGTTCTCGAAATATGCTGCCTCAAATTTTTCCCCAGACGAGACAATGTTCCAATTGGGCACACTTTTGTTTTTAGCCCTTATTGTGCTCGAAAATGATTTCAGGCCTCAACTTAAAGCTTAGTCTGGAAATGATGCTATGAATATGAAATAAGTTGGAGACGCATGTCACCCAAGTACCCACTAGATTCAGCGACGGATACTAGGATACTGCGAGTCTTCCATATAATCTTTCACCTGCCAGAGTTTCCAAAGATATCCGTTGCAAGGAACGAGTATTAAGGGCCTTCTTTCGTGGGCCTTCCATTTAGATCCTTATCTTCTCCGTATCTATTCCAGTCCTTTAGCAAACCAGTCAACCTCAAAACCCCTCCATGAATTATTTCTGGATTCGTCCTTGACTGGAGGAAGCTTATGTAGGGAACATCTTGTACTAGAAGGCATTTAATCGATTGAGTCTGATGAAAACGTCGAGCTTATAGCATAATCATGCGCAGAATAGTGTTCAAAAATCAATTCTACGGCTAACCCAATTAGCATACTCCTGGCGGGCCACGCGCTATGAAATCGGCAGCCTTAGACCTCCAGATACCACAAGCACTCAGTCAGAATGTGTATACATTTTCTCAATTTGGCAACAGCATTTCAAGGCATGAGACACAAGTTTTCACCCAACCACCTGGTCTTGGCAAGTACTTGAAATTGAAGAATACCTTGTCAAGTTAGTCTCATAATGCAAGATTTGAAAATGAACCAGAAATCCTATTTGTGGTATCAGTAATCCCATTTCTTGTGTAGTATGCCATCAAACTGAACAAAGGCAATAAATTATCATCAGCTAGAAGTATATATTCCTTGGAAATCAATAGAAATGGTAAAAATGAGGCACAGGGAAGAGTATGGAAAGAAAACCAATGCCAAGGGTTGGTCATTGAAGCAATGGACATGGATACATATATTAAAATCACTTATGTGACCTGGGGAGTCATATTCTCACTGTGGTGGTATGGGTGAGATTCCATGGATATGGACTGGGGCACCTCTCACATTCATTGGTGTAGATTTAGTAGCACTCCTCCACAATCTGAAAATGATTTTAAAATTCCATCAATATTGGTATTTCCATGAACATTGATGCATGCAGACTACCTTCCTGAAGATCTATTGGATGTACTTAATATACAAAGTTATTATTAAGTCACTTGATGGGTGGTATATGATACTAGTACAAAATCAATGTATCACAGCTCAGCGAAACTTGGAGAATGGTATCACAGCATCAGCAGAAAGCATCACAAAAAACAAAACCTGCTTCATAGGGAGTGTTGCTGATATGACAATTAACACACAGCAAAGCAGCTATGTACAGGGATATAAAATATTAAAGAGGACTGAGGATCAGTTCTTAAATGGTCCAGAGATGCTGATCAATATGCAACTTGCACAATGGATTCATGGATGGACACATGGATACTATCTAGGGATGACATGAAAGGTTCAATGCTTCACAGTTGCCTTGTAAATGCCCATCTATAGCTGCACCTACTGTGTAAACAAATGACACATCAGCAAGGCAGTGTCTTTTTTGTGCATCAATTTCTCCTGGTGTTCTTACACTATTACAAAAATTTCACTAAACTGTGAAAGTTTTCATAATTTTCATGTCAAAGTCCCTTAAACCAAGTGACTTTATACTCACCCTGTGACAATGTTTCTGCCACTTTCAAAAATAACTTGAAGAGTTTTGCTGAAACTTATGTTATGATTCATACATGAATGCAGAATGTGAATCCCTTCCTCAATCATATTACCTGCTTAGGCGCTGTTGGAGATGCTCATGATCTGTACCAGGTTTACCATGTACATCTGAAAGATAGACACAACAATTGCATGGACCTTATTTCTGTTTCATTATAATAGCCTAACAGAAATCCAGAGGAGAGAAAGAAATAAGAAACCATACCTGATTGATGTTTATTACTAGGACCATCATTCTTTTCACTGAGCTTTCTCTTTGACCCATTTTTTGCAGGAACAGTTGACAGACTTTCTCTGTAACTTCTGAGGAAATCATTTCTCCTCTTCTCCAGTCGACCATATAACTTATCCAATTCTGTCCGCCTGGGAGGATGACAGAAGTCAATCACTGAGACCATGTTGATGCCAAAAAATGAAATTTGGCACATGAAATGAAAGAAACCAGTGATAAGGAAGGGCAATATCTAAATATGTACATGTGATGTTATGGTATTTTTGCATACAAAGTCTGTAGTTAAATCTTCCATGCTTAGTCACCTGTATGTGCTCTATGACATAATTTCATCAGAGATGACATCAGTAAGTTACATAGCTACACCACTAGGGTAAAGAACAGATGAATGTTCACAGTCCATAAGCAAAGCTGACTATGGATGCTTATTGAGAAATGTTTCACAACACAATATGAAAAAAAATCTCAAACCCAAGCCAGGTGCAAGATAAGAACAGGCATTGCGTTGATAATTTAGTCATCCCAGATCTGGAACATAAATTAATGGGAGACCAATCAACCCCCAGTTGGTAATGAGCTTGGCTCCTGTGGCAACAAACTTGAGTTTGAACTCAATCAAATCTGGTGTTCATTTCTGAGTGCAGGCCTCAGCATGCTTGGAAAGGGAGACCTGAGCATTTGGCACTCCTGTATCTGGATGTGTAATGTTAAATATTCCTGGTGGTGAAGGCCAAACTTGGGTAACATATCCCAGTAGTTATCATTCAGACCAAAGTAAGTCTCCCAAGGTTACTCATGTTAGCTGTTGTGATGGGGAGTGTATCAACACATTGAACACTGATTCATCGAAAGTAGCATTGCCGAAACTCGAAAGGTTGATTGATCAAGTGGACAAAACTCCAAACATTGAATACATTTGTTGAAAGGATATTTCGCCAAAGTAAGATATTTTCAATGAAAGCAGATTTTCATTGAAAAATCAAAATGTAGGAAAATTGGTAATTTTGGAATCATTGGTTTCATCACAAACATCTAGGGTGAATAGTTAAATATGAAGGACTCTGGTACATTGCATTCATTAGTGGCAATCCTTGATCCTTGAATAGATCAATCTGGCAATCCTTGAATAAATCCTTGAATAGATCTTTGGAGACCTGAGGTATCCAAGGGGCTGCAATCTAGGCAGTGACTTTCATATTTTCTTTCTGCAGGGATATGCATGAAAAGGAGGCAATTGAGAAGGACCACAAGGTAATAAATAATGAGTCCCTGAGATTTTAAAAACATTTTCAAAGCATGAAATACCACAGCCTCTGGAATTATGGAATTTAACAAAATAACTTTAATGTTTTTTTAATAATAGTAATAAATATATTAATAACTAAAAAACCTTTTTTCCTCTCCAGGATTCACTTTCCAAGACAAAGTGGCAATCCTTCAAATTAAAATATATAAGCTTCCATCAAGTAAGAAATTAAACAAGGATTCTTCACTCAAAGGATAGTTACATAGGTAACAAGCTGACATGGGGTGGAAGATAAAATTATTGGCAACCTTAAAAAAACAGTCAGGGTATTTCAAGAAAGGGACTAACTCATGGCTGGAATTGGGGGTAGTCAGAAACCTCTGAATTTAGATTCTGCAGCTATTCTCCTTTTTTGAAAAGAAAAAGAAAAAACTAAAACAATATAAGATCATTGAGGCTTGATCTTACAATACCATGAAAAACTATATTGCAACTCACACATGATGTGCATCTCTTTGAAGAAGCAGTGGAGAAAATTCTTGTAAAATTCTCAGGAACTCAGGTCGTTCCTCAGCATGGGCAAATCTGATCCCATAGAGATGAAATGCTGTCAGAGTCACATGCTCCAAGTTCATGAATGAGTGGCTCAAATTTTCAGCAAAAGTCTGTCAAAAGATCAAAAGAGGCAAAAGAAATGGAACCACGGAACCATGATGCCTAGAAAAGCGGGTCTGGTGATTTCAATGATGAAATAAATATATATTTAATGAATTACCACCTAAATATGAATTTAGTTTTGCTCAGGTATATTGTGCCTGATTCAAGAAAACCTTTAATTCAATGTAAGAATGAAGCTCAGAATGCTACAAGTTCAGTCATGCTAAACTTGACCTAAAGTCTGGCCAACTATTAAATTTATGGCCTAAATTCGACCACTCAAAGTTCAATGAGATGTTAATAATAAGTAATTTCCTACATAATTCATATGCCAAAAAATTATTTCCTTCTGAAAACTTGAAATGTAGCATGCTTGCCTAGATGCTCAAACTAAGAATTAAAAAAACCACTATTAAGAACAGAGCACTGAACTGCCAAAAATTGCACTAGTTAAATAGAGGATCATGAATCTGAACAAAAAGCAACCCTGACAAATAGATAAAGCAACAATTCAAGTAAAATTTTGTAAGATAGGAGCTTTCAGCTCAAAATAATTATGTTGGAAAAAAAAATCTAACAAAATTAAACAGGGTTTACCATAGAAATTTTCTAAGGAAGCAGGTCACAGTTGAAAGACTTCATGAGCAAAGAAAAGATAGCTCATTGGAGAAGAATAAAGGAGTAGTTTTACTTTGAGCATTCAAAAAAAATTTTCTTGCATCATGTATATGGCAAATCAGGAATGAGGAAAGTGGTGTATATGAGGTGAACATGGCCAAATGCATGGAATGACCTGAAAAGAAGGAAGCACAAAGAAAATTGATTTTAGATTATGTAAAGAGTAGCAAAATTCTTACATCCCATAGCAAAACCCCTAACACACATGCCAAAAAAAGGAGAGGACACCATCATGAAGTTATTGCCACTGCCCATGTGATTCCCCAACTCCTTCTATGTTCCTGACAGAGGAGAAGGAAAGATACATTCCCTTCAGAAAAAAAACTTAAGCTGACTAGTATTACATCTCTGAAAGGGGTCAAAATGATCCCTTGGTCCTTCTAGTGTCAGTGCATTTTTTTTTTAAAGTTTTTTTTGGTTCAACAGCATTTCTGCTTTGCAAAAGTTTCAACATTGCAGTCACTTTTGATTTGAAAGAAAATGTGAGCAGAAAGAAGGGTGAGTAGCCGAGAGGGGGTGGGAACAGGTAGAAGGGAAAAAAACTGCTTTGTGGGAAATTAGCATAAAAAACTCATATTTCAGGATTTTTTAATTCTGCCAAATTGAAAGGATGGTAAAGGAAGAGCAATTCTCACCAAAGTCAAATCCAGTTCATTGCATAGGAATGAGTTGACCAATGTCTGCAAGACAACATCCAAGTAGACCTTCATTCCCATATCCTTGATTTTGCCAAGGAAGGTATCGATCAATGCTTGCATGCGATGCCCCACCTGCAAAAGGAAAACTGATAACATTGCCTAATACAGTGGTGCCCAACCTTTTCGGCTAGGGGGCCACATAACTCACTCCCACAGCCATCACGGGCCATATGCAGTCACTAGTATTGTAGGAGACTATTTTAAGGAAACCTGAAGGTAATTATTGTGGGTTAGGACCTTGTGGGCCACTTGTAAGCACCTCGAGGGCCACTTTTTGCCCGCAGGCCACGGGTTGGGCACCACTGGCCTAATACATGCAGCATTCACAATACTGAAGCCAGGCATGTTTTGGAGTTTTTTCCTTTTTAAAAGTTCTACACTGTGAAAATGATGAATGGATGGAACATTCCAATGAAAATGAGAGTTGCTGATGCAGAAAGATGCTTGACATCTTGTGAGAAACAGGGAGGCAGTATCATAAACCATATTTATGTGCTGACTTACAAACTCAATCTCTTTGCATCCATGTAGCTGAATACTGTGGAAAAATTGATGTACACAAGTTCACTTGTGAATATGACATGGTTTGCACTTACTTGCACTTAACCCTTATCCGGGCAAGGGGAGTCCATTGGACTCCCCAGGGTATATTTCATTTCATTACTCTCTGCAAATTTTTCAAAATATTCTTCAAATTTGATATGGGTTTCATAGACAGTCATCCATAGATTCAGAAACGAACTTTTAAAGTTTGGATTTGCTTTTAAGGAAAAAAATTCTAAAAATATTTGGCCTTGCCCGTTTGTGTCACAAAAATACCTTGCCCGGATAAGGGTTAAGTCTGCACTCACAAAATGATACCCAATCACATGATTATTAGAGTTCAATTCATCAACCTATCAGCTCATCAGCTCATGGGATAGGGTAAGCACCCCAGTTTCTGGCCAGTCTCAAGTTGTTGGCCAGTGAGGCTTAAATCCAGCATAATTAGTTAATCTGGCCATTTTCAGCCATTCTATCAACATCTTCCCATACAAGGACCTATTACTAGTGTTTCCCAGGGTGCACAAAGGTGTTCACTTCCTATGGGAGTCATATCAGCGTGGCCAAAAACTGGGGTGTTTACCCTTCATGAGTGATCAAATAGAGGTGATTCATATGGTCTGCATAGCTTCTTCCCATAAAAAAAAAGGTACAGTATAAGCAAATGAGACTATGGTCAGAGTCACAGGACTAAAAATCATATGACAATTTTGTAGCACCAACTTCCATAATACAAAATATGAGATCAAATAATTCTTATATCAAGTTTTAAACAGAGAACCATATTGTAACATACATATAATTATATAAAATCAGGTAAAAAATGTAATATTGAATTTTGAATCCATCAGTTTTGAAATAGAAAAAAAAAACTCACTCCAAAATTTCTCTTCAATAAACATTTCACATTGGTCAGGTGAATCCAAACTGTACAGAACAACATCTGAAAAGATAACATTTCCAAAAAAAGGTTTCTGAAATCTGCCCGGATTTCTGCAATGGCATTGATGCTCTTTTTTCATTTTTTTGTCCTCAATTTTTATGGAAAAATTTTTATTTAAGGGCCACTTGGCTGCAAGTTTTTCTACTCTTGTTCTCTACTTCACAACAGGACCTGCAATAAGTCCAATTTACTAGAAATTATGAAAATTTGATGCAAAAAAATGTGGGCAAAAGAACTTCTGCTATCACTTTTATCCAGTGCTACACTTCTTCAGGATGGCTTTCAGCCTAATGTATATTGTAACACATTCAATTTCATGAGTTTTGATCATATTACTCATGTGATGCTTATGATCATGGTGGTAATGATGAATCTCACTCTCAAGCTTCTCAGTTTACTCAGTTTAATGTTTTCCATTCTAATGTGAGTTCAGTCCTATGGTGACATTCTTTATCACTTAGAAAATCATGATCCCATGAAGCCATGTGTGTCAAATTGATCCCCCAAGTTATGTTAGGTGAAATATCTCATTTGTTCTTGGGGATTCTTAACCCACTATGAATGCAACCTCTGTTGGAAAAAATATCAATGTACCTTTCTGATGGAGTTCAAACATTTTGACTCAATATTATCTCTGAAAGGGGTCAAAATGACCTCCTTGGTCCTTCTAGTGTTAAAGCATTTTCGCTTGTAAGGTTTTTTTGGTTCAACAGCCTTTCTGCTTTGCAAAAGTTTCAACTTTGCAGTCACTTGATTAGGAAATAAACAGGCATTCAAAAGGAACGTTACAAAGTAATTTAGAGCTCACTCACATTGTAGGAGTTATGATTGCATTATACCAATATTTTGCTGAACAAACCAGTACTGTTTGAACATTATCAGCATTTACTTGCCAACCTTAGAATGCTGTGCACATGCCATGTCAAGGAAAATGCCTAATTATGTTTTCTCTATACCATATGTGAAGTTCAAATTTCCATGGACAAAAAATGGGCTGATTTCATTGTGCACATCATCCCCTCTCTGAAAAACATCAGAGATACACCAAGGCTGATGCAGCAACAAAGGGATGGGGTGATGAAAGTGCTTTGGGAGGGTGTAACACAATAGGAAGTCATGTAGTGACTCAGATGAGCTTGTGTGGCCTAAACCAGATTGAATCAAAACTTTATCAAAACTGGCAGAACACAACTTTGAGAATCACTACATTTCCCAAGGCCAAGTGTTCTGCCAACTCATTCCAAGATGGTGTAATAAATGTTGCATCACACCCTCTTGAAGCATTTTCATCACCCTGTCCCTTTGTTGCTGCACTAGCCTTGACATATCTCTGATTATTTTTCCTGGACAGTATGACATGCATAATGGAATCAGTCCATTTTTTGTCAATGGAAATCTGAACTTTACATATGGCATGGCAAAACCTAATTATGCATTTTCCTGACATGCTCATAATGTTCAACCAGTGATGACTTGTTCATCAAAGGGCATATATACTGCTATCACAACTCATACTATGCAAGCAAGCTCTAAATTACCTTTTAAAGTTTCTTTTGGAGGTTAGTATACTAACTTACAGTTGGATAGTAGCACAGGAGGTCTGCTACATGATTCATAGGAAAGTATCCAGATGAAATCCCCATGAAATAACTCACAATTATCTTGAAATCAACCTCTGACTTCTTCAATCCTGTGGAACAAAGAACATTCCCAATAAAAATGACATTTTCAAACATGTACAATCTCTTCCTTCACCACTATGGGTTCTGAAAAAGTGGATAGGATGAATTGTCATGAATAGTTTTACTGCTGAGTAAGGTAACATTCAACTCATGAGATAACTGTACCTGGGGCACGTAGCATATGGAACCAAAAGATAAAATTTTGATACATAGGAAGAGAGGATGACATCCAGTGGGATTCAAAGCAAACACAACAGTAGTTCCCAACTCTTTTGACAAAGTGACCTTTTTTTTAAAGACTTTATGGTCCATAATGAAGATTATTGGCTACTAGAACTGAATAGGAGTGGAAAGGCATCATGAATGACAAAAAAATTTTTCTTGCTTGTAGACTGGACCTAAATGACTAAAACCAAGCTGGGGAGTTACCCAAGACAGTATCAAGCCCCCAAGAGTGGGTCGTAACCCAAAGGTTTTGGAGCCTCAGATATACTGGGTGATCATAAAGTCCCAATCTATTTCAAACTCAAAATTCTTACAAAAATGCATGTGTACTTCACACTGTCAATAAGGAACTAAATAAAACTGGTGACAGTAAATTAAAAATCAGTTATTAACATTTTTTTATACTAAAGTTCCATATGACCACCTTTCAAATCGATACATAACTGCAATCGATCCATTGTGTTCCTGAACATTCAGGATTTTCAGAATGTTGGGGATTTTGGTGTTAACAGCAGAATAGATACAATCTCTTAAATCTTCTAAATTGAGAACCATTGTGTGGTAATCATTTGACTTAATGTACCCCTATGCAAAACGAAGTCAAAGGGGGTTAGGTCAAGGGATCTTGAAGCCCAAATTTCATTTTGCAAACATTGCGTGAGATTATCTAATGAGAAGTTCCCAAACATTGGATTGGCCAAGGATCAATCATAACATTGGCTTCAGGATAACCTGACATAACCCCCTTGGATTTTTTTGAATGGGATGCATTAAGTAATAGGTTTACAGCACAAAGGTTCTCAATTTTGAAGATTTAAGAGATTGTATCTATTCTGCTGTTAACACTCTAACCCCTGACATGCTGACATGTCTATGGAGAGATACTCACACTGTATGTACACAGCATGTCACCATAACCTAAGCATCTCTACCACAAACCCCACTATACTAGATACAATATAAGAGGCTTCATCCATATAATTTCCTGGGGTGCAATATGTTGCATTATATTACTGTCCAGATACATGACATTGAGACAGTATGACATCCAACCTGCTTGATAAAGAAAAGTAAACTAAAACTAAAACTACAAAACAGACTTCCTATTGAAATTGCAATATCAGTTCCTTCCTTAGAAATAGAAGGAATTTCTCTAACTTCTAATGTGGCTGCTTTGATTCAATAAGCAATAATCAAAACTTGTAACCCAAATGCACAGGAGAGTTAATATGAAATAAACCAGTTGCAAGTTGAGCTAACAGCCAAGCACCAAAATTCTTTGTATAAACACTCATCAGAGATTAAATCATTAAAAAAAATTAAGGGAATCCCTACCAAACATTTATGGTATTGAAATTGAATTCAAGGAAGATGAAAGAATGCTTGGTGCAGTACACACAGACACTTGCCAGCCAGAAATACCATTTTTTTATTTTAAGACTTGCTTCATTATGAAACTTCTTGGCCATGCTGTGCACCAGTTAGTTGGATTTCTTTCTGAGAATTTTGTCTGAAATGCCTTGCAACATGAAAAGGAAAAGCAGTCTTTTGATATTCTTCAAATATGAGTTTTTTTTGTTCTTCAGTTATTTGCACTGTTTCAACAAATCTGAAAAGAGAAAGACAGTGTTACCAAAACTTTTTGAATTGTGCTTTTTAACAGACTTTGTCTCGGAAAAATCAGAAGAAAAATAAGAGTTTAATAAGGATTTAAAATGGTCTACTTTTTTGTGCCACCCTGTATTATCATGATTGACTTCCTTCAAGGATGATTTATAAAACCATAGCAAGGCTGTGATAATTATCTGGATATCATGATATCAATTGATTTGTTACTTGTGGTAGCATGGATAGATTTTACAATGTTGATTTCAGTTGCATGCTGTGCCTTTCTGATTTACTCTAGTATGTATACATGACATTAAAAATCAAAAGGGGAAAGGGGTTGGCAGCATCATAAAATAAATTGATATTAGGTCAGTAATAAAGATCCATTTACAATCCATAGCATGCAGCCCTAAAGCATATGATGAAATTCTATCACTGATGAGAAATATCTATTGAGTATAGACAAAGCTTCCCATTCTCTGCTGCAAGTTCCTCCATAGCTTCTAATGCCATCTGATGAAGTATGGCAAAGATGTGTGCAGGCACATTGACAGTCCACTTTGACGAGTCTCTGCGAGGTTGAGGAAGCAAGGAAGACAGCATGGAGAGATCACTCATGACCAGAAATGTCTGAAAAGAATCAAAATCCAACCATCAACCAATGCCTTTCTACATACTTTAATGGTAAGCCCCACTCAAGATTGTGAACCATGTTCTACCCCTTAATAAATTAACTTCTGAGCTAGATAAAGCAGAAGGAGAAGCCTAGAAAAGAGGGTAAAGTCTCTGGGTTATGGATGAGTGAGAGGAGAGGGTAGACCCTATGCATGATGCATGACCTCAGACCATAACCCAAGGGCAGAACCCTCTTCCCCAATCATGATTTGTTTCCCAGAATCCAACTAGGACTCTTTTCCCTCAGTAAGGTAGGGGTAGTGTATTGTTGTCTTTCCTCTGCATAGTTAGGGCATGAGAGGGAGTACTGTTACTGGAATGGAAGAAGTGTGAATGAGACTGATCTCAGGGTGCAAGAGTCAATGAAACTTGGATTTATTTTACATGAGAGGCAAGGAGTTTTTGTAAGCTGAAACCAGTAATTCAGGTTCTTTAGTAGGATTTGGAAAGTCAAGAATCCTGAAACTCTGACACATGTATTCATATATATATATGAATACATGATAGTGAGAGAGCAACACACTGATTTCACTGGATTCCAGATCAATGTGTCCTGTTTCCAAGCCATGTTTTCCATTGTCTGAGCAGAGCATTTGCAACCACTTTGTGGATATTTAGTTTGTCTTTCAATCTTAAATTTCAGGGCAAGTACACATTTGGGTTTACAATCTGGAATGGTTTGAATATCAAACTCCCCATACACGTTTGACTGAAAGTAAACTATGCTCTTGGTCTGATGCCATCAACCATTGACTTTTAAATTTTGTTCATATGTATAGGTATGAAGGTGATGGTTATATCTTACTAAACTCCCATCCTTACAGTTAAAACTGTAGAGTATGTGTGATCAATTTATAAGAAAACAGTAATATGAAGAACAGAATTTTTTTCTGGAAGGCACTGTGAATGATGAAGGAGAAATGGAGACTGGAATATAAATGGGGTTTAGATGAACTGATTCAGAACTAACTGCAGGGAAGGGTAACTAAGGGATTTTCAATCAGACTAGTAAGATCACTACAAGCATTGATGCAATGGAGAATGGTAGGTTTTCCCAACTCATTAAAAGCTAAAATGGGAAATTAGTTCAAGTTGTATAAGCCTCAAATGAGAGTCAAGTTGCTGAACAACTTTCTTGTATGTTGGGTAGTGAATTCAACGAATGTGTAAGATGAACAAGTAGAGGGTCGGCATTCAACTTATAGCTTCAAGAAGAGGGAAGATGACTTCATAGACAATGCAAAAAAAGGGAAAACTACTGCTGTAATTAACTGGGCAATAGATGCACCAGCTCAAATCAAAATTATTATTATTTTTTTAAAGAGGGGTAGGTTCATCTCAATTGAGTGCTTGACCTTGACTCTTGACATCACTATAGACAGACACACCTATTAATATTACAACCTAAACCTTGAATGCAAGTAGATTCATTTCTGGGGGATCACAGAATCAACAAATCAACAATAGAAAGTATCATTTCTCATTTCATAGGACTTTAAAGTATTAGGGATTTAATCCTTAAATGAGGATAATGAGAATTCACATGCATTTATGAGACAAGTCATTACAGGAATTTGAGGCTTTATGGGAGTGGTTCATAGGCAGCAAATTGAATGCCTGAAAAAAACCTGAAGAACTTCAAGACAGTTCTGTGTGATCATTAGTCCACAATGGCAGTAGCATATATGCATGTCAAGACTTACTGCAATTCCAACACTGAAGCTGCACTGTCTTTCTAATAGCTTCAGGCAAATGTCAAACAATGGGTACCAGTTCCTCTCCATGGCAAGTGATGCATCCTGCTTGTCTGCTTCACTCCTCTTGTAGGACCACATCACTTCTGCTTGACAGCAAAGGAGGGCATTCTTCAATATCTAGGCAAGGAATGCAAAGGACACAGGAATACCACCATTCCTGACAGTCAAATCACAACTGCTCACAATTTCTAACACAGGGTCTTCAATAATTCGCTCTTTCATGCCAAAAAATTAAGACAAGCTGCAGTTTTCAAGTGGTGGAGCTTGTCTCATTGCATCATCTCCATGGGCTTGCTGGATGAGTTGCAGGGTTTCTGGACCGCTTTTTCCAAGCTGAACAGAAAATTCAATTGTGCAACGCTGACACTCTAAGAAAATATCAAGTTTCTCTGCCATTGTAAAACAGGTTCTTTTAAAAAGACCATAACTCAAATACTAACATCGATAGAGAGACGAAGGTCATGCCACTACTACATTATCCCCACCACTACAACTTGGCATAACAGTCACCACCTCCCTCTCCATAAAAGCGATGCAGTGCAGCAAGTCCACAAACTTTTCAAACAGCCCTCGTAGATCATGTACCTGATGCCTTTTGATTTTTTAAGTCCAAGAAAGTTCCATAATACCAGGTTTAATGCAAACCATGTGGTTCATTCCATTCACTTTCGTGCCCATCTTTAAATGATTTGCACCAGTCAAATATGGATGTCCTTGACAGGCAATCATCACTAAACTGCTTAGGCAAGTGTCTGTAAATATCAATAGGTTTGATGTTCTCATTGATCAGAAATTTCATAATTATTTACTGTTCCACCTCCTTTCTACCTTTATGTCAACCATCTTGATTTTCAGTAAATGTAATAAAGCAAGAAACACATGATTGTGATTGTGTGTTACTAACAATTTAGAGACATCCGAGTACATTACACTGCCTTTTATAAACAAAAGTCCAGGTCAAATTTGAACCACCACCTATTTTTTACTCATATTTGGGCACATGGAATAAATTATGCAGATATAATCATAGGTTTTCTCAATTTGGGTTGATTGGAATATCTTCTAGAATTTAATTTGCTTATACCTCTAATCAAATGTGAAGGTAAATAGTCATTCAGCTGAATCTTAACCAATGCAATGAATTCTGAGCATTTGGTTGTGGAAAGTAATAATCATTCTCCACATTCAGTGAAACAAGCTGAAGAAGCTCACATCATCAGGCAGATTGGAAGTTTGCAGGAGCTTCAGGAGCTTTGGAAAAATTTCACGAGATATAAGATCAAGATCCATCTGATGACAAAGCTTCACCAAGAGTGACAAGGATAGACCCAGGGCCTCAAAGGTGCTATTGGAAGCTGTTTGATCCTAGAGAAGAGGAAAAAATAGTCCAATTTGTAAGAAATTTCATATGAAAGAGATTAAACTGCTTCAAAATGAGACTAGACCAAGCAGAAAAGTAAGAAACACAATCCAAAGCAATGTTCACAGATTGAACTTCTTTCTCTTACTCTTTCAGTGTAGACTAAAAACGATGTGATGAAAGGACAAAAGCAACTTAATGACTACTACACTCCCCACTCTCTCAGCCAGTGCAGATATGATAGCAGTTAAAAATTTACTAGAGCATTCTTTAAGAGTGCACTTAACAAAAACTACAGCTTATAGCATGCTGACAATGCATATGTGATGAAATGAACATGTATGTGAACAAATGTTTTATATATGTACTTGCAATTGGATGAAAAGAATTACAGTCAAATAATAATTTGATTGCTAATGACATGTGAATACTGCTACTGTCCTCTATCATGCACCAGCTACACCAGCTATTTTGTGCTTATAATGCTGAATTATAATTAAAGCTAGTCCATTTTAATCTTCTCCTCTACTTTCATCAATTTGGCTGATTCCTTAGCTGAGACAGTCTTATCTTTGCCTACTAATCTTAGAAGCCTCTATCACTGTTACTTCTACTCCCTTTCAGCTCTAGACTCTGACTTTTGATCAAGACTGTGGCACTCATTGGACATCTGAATGTTAGGAAGGAAAATGTCTTGAATTGGCTTCATCAGTTGATGATTGTTAATGAGTCTTGATCCTGACTGATCTCAGGCCTCTGCATCATTAGCTTCAATTAATTCTTCTTGATCATGTATATTCAAGATTTTGATGCACCAAAAAAAACAAGGGTGGAAATTGAGCTCACTTCAGGAAGATGCATGACTTGAATCATGCTGGAGGTTAAAGTCTGCATATTTTCAGAGAGAATAAGCTCAAGGTTCCGCTTTAAAGCTGCAGTGAGATTTGGTCTTGACATGTAGGAGCTCATTGTAGAAATGCACTGATTCAGTGTTTCCTCCTCGCGACAGGAACGGAGAACAAGTGCAAAAACCTCAGTTATGGCATCCAGATCCTGCAAGAGCATAACACAACTTTAAGGAAAGTACCATTTTTTAATTTAAAAAATTTTTTTAAAGTCATTGCTATGTTAAAACATCTCAATCACTATCTCATATAGTAATATCAGGGTGTCCCATATGTTTTTTGGATTATTTTGAAACCATTCTAATTCTGCGCTCATTTTTCGCAAAGGTTTGAAATTCCTCCTGTTATTAGGGTAAGTGTTNCATGATGGGATTCATTCTCTGCATGGAAGATGGAGAGACGTGGTGGAACACGATGGCGACTATATTGATGATTCATGTTGATTGTTGGTGTCAGAGGATAAGAATATGTAGAAAAATGGAAAACCCAAAAAACATATGGGACACCCTGATATAATAAACTTGCATGTCTGCAGATTCTAATGCTTCATGCAAAATTGTCCATATAGGTAAACATGGTTTCAATGGATTCAACAATGGCATGCAGAAAACTTAGTTTAAGGATTCTAGCCAGCTAAAGGGTCACAAATTGTTAATATTGAGATCCCAGCTTAGACCCAAGGAGGATCAAAACACTGGAGCTTGATCTGCCATGATTAAAGCACAACTTCTGGTTTCATATTTTGACACACTCAGAATGGAGTAAACCCTGCAAGATCATCCATAGCAACCATTAATAAGCATACAACTAAAGCCAGAGCACACAATATTACTATGAGAACTGCTGCATGGAAAATATTTCCAATTCATACGATACAGGAGGTGAGCTCATATACTGATGCAATTGTGCACAAATGCATGAATGTACAGTAAAGCCTCATTAGTCCAGTCTAAATGGGGGGTCTGGATTAGCCAAGAGTATGGACAATCCGAAAAATACAGAAAAAAGCGCAAACAGTACTTTATATTAATTTTGTGAATGATCAGTAATAATTAAACACAATATAGGGTGCTAAATGTTAGAAAAAAGAAATAGTTTGCCAGCCACTTCCTCAGATCTCCACAGTCTGAGGAACCTTCCTGACGTCCAGACCAGTGGGGTCCGGATTAGTGAGGTTTCACTGTAGAATGAGATGTGACTTTAATATTTAAGGCTGAGAAAAACAGCAGAATCTCATTTTGATATAAACTAGGACACATAAGAAAAAAAGCATTAACCCTTCCATGGGAGAGTATTTCTGACTCAATGTGCTTGTGCAGTTTTTTTGGTGAAATGACAGCTTGCATTTATTTGCAATTTTTGCATATTAAGTAATTGAATTATTCTTTCAAATATATCAGAATAAATTTACAAGATATTTATATACAATCTCCTTAAAACCTTGATAGTGTGTGCACTCACCTAGGGCAAAACTGATATTTTAGTGCATGCCATTAAAAGGATTAAGTGTTTCATTTCCAGTACCTGTATCTACACTCTATGGTTTAGGGTGGATTTTTGAACAGAGCATTATCCAATAATGCAGCTTTATTTCAGAGAAAATGCATTATAAATCCAGTAAATAAAGCTGCATTATTGGATAGTGCTCTGTTCAAAAATCCACCCTTAATTTTGAAATGGATTTTGTTTGTCTAAGCTGGCATACAAAATTTACCATAACTAAGCACAAAAAAAACAAGCATAATATAATTTAGAAAACAATAGGTATAGAAGGCAATGTTACACATGCATAATATTATGTCAAAAACAGCCGACTGGACAGAATTGTGTTACCATAGCTCTGGTTCCCAGGCATTTTAAGCAAACTGGACTGCAAAATGTACTGTAGCACTAAAAAGGCTCCTAGTTCTAAATGGATTTGTCTCAAATTTGAAAGCTACAAAGCTTAAAGCTTCCTAATCAAGAGCATATGTTCAATAAGATTGAAAACCCCCTAACAGATGTCAAAAGATGCTCATTTCTTCATCATGTACAAAATCCGTGTTTACAAAGGTTCCATCCTCAATTTGTTAAGAGTTTATGAGAATATTACATTTTTCATTTTATATCCATGACAGATGCTTTTGAAAGAGAGATAGCAGCATTTAGAGACAGCTCGTTTTATGCAAATGTAGCAATTACATTTATTTCCACATTGTTAAGCAAAGAATCTAGCAAGATAGGTATTTTTCTACTATTTATTATGTATATTTCACGTACATTTAAAATATTATGTAATCACTTGTGAAATAATATGAAATATTTGTTTCAAAGGTGGAAAAATATGAAATTGTGTTAAAGTCATTATATTTAATACTTGGCTAGCCACTTCCATAGGGGCATGTTGAACAGGGCACTAACTAAAACCAGTCAAAAACAAAAAAGGTAATAATAAAAATCAATTTTGAACCAAGGTCACAAGTGACCAGTAAAGTCATTCTCAAACTTTAAGCATGAAGAAAAGAAAATAAGTACTGAAAGGTTACATTTGAAAGACTTGAGGGTCATAAGGAGTGGGTCCATGAAGTATTATGATAAAATACAAAGGTTCAGCAATATCCCCAAGGTCCCATTCACTTGATGTTGTGGGACCCTTACCCAACAAGCAACATGGAAACATCTATGCTCTGGGCAAGGCAGTTTCACTAAAAGGTAGCAGAAACAAATCACTGTCCAATTTTGGGGAAGAGTTACTGAGCTTTCCTTTTGCACAAAAAAGTTTGCAACATTTGAAAGACAGGCAACAGGTAAACATTGGCTAGCTGAAAGTCAATGGCATTTGAACCAAGACACCTCAGTGTCATTATAAAAACTGCTCGCACAAGCTTCACATGCTTATGAGCCACCCATGTAGTCTAGGTGGTCTCCTGTAACACTAAGTAGGGGTGCAGCCATGCTTGGAGTAAAACCAATTGTGAATTGGTGCCTTCTTTAGTTTTATAACTAATAATTCACAATTGTATAATCTGGCTGCCTCTTTTGAGAAGGAAAGAAAGCCAAGCTCATCCATCTCTCTGCAAAGCACCATTCGGAAGAAGCTAACCTGATATGAAGGAGGGAAAGCATGACTGCAAAATTGCTTCACAGCACATGTCTTCAGGAACTACAAGACTTTCTCATGGCAGTGAAAGCTATAATAGAATCCTCATACTAGAAAGAAATCACTGCAAATGATGTTTCCAAGATGTCCAATTATTTCTCAAACAATTGGAAGGAGAGAAAGCTAACCAGACATTCCACTGCAACTAAGCCACTGTTCTGAACAGACAAGATCCTCTCACTTAGAATGTATAACTTGAAACAAATCAGAATATTAGACCAAGGTTGAACAGACAAGACAAATTGGACACAGCCAACAGTGCATACTTTTCCTTTTGATGAGAAGACTAATGCACGGGAATCAAAGGCCTCCATTATGTAGAGAAGGTCCTTGATCACTTCACCTTCCATGAGAAACTTCTTGATAAGTCCAGGCAATTTAGGGATAAACAATGCTGTCATGCTCTCTTTCTGAGTTCTTTTGCTTCTCCTCTCAAGCACCTGAATCACAGAAAGCATTCTCATGCAGTATTGTGAATGATGCCTACATAAAGAAAAAAACAACACTATGGATAGTCTGTTGGATTATGAAGTTAGCCCTTTAGTGCATGATGTCCACTGAAGCAGTGGGCTATGATTTTGGTTCTGATTTTGGTTTTTCAGTCATGGAACACATGCCTAGAAGCTTTGGGAGCATGCAGTCCACTCCCAGGGCACATAATCTATTCAGTGTTGTCTCCTAACTGGAACATGCAACTACTACGGCAGGGTACCACCTTAAACAGTAAACCAAAAACAAGCATATTTTTGTTTTGCTTTAAAAATTCATGCACCAAAGGGTTAGAGTCATACCTGTTTGCTATATCATTCATGTTAAATGACCAGGGTGGCAAAAAAAGACCTTAACATTTAATACATAAATCTCTGCTCTTACTCAAGCCATATTCATAAACTTATAATATGCAAAGAAAGACTGATGTGTTTCCAACACCCTCTGGAAACTTAGTGCAAATAACCCTCTACCAAAGCTAAGCCATGAGCAATTATCCCAAATATTTTAGATATTGCGAATGGAAAGGGGACTCTAGTCCCTGTAGACAAGACAAGACTCAACCTGCTTCAATCTCCAACGTAGGTGAGGGGAAATCTGAAGAAACTTAGCAAAAATTGCCTATAAAAACCTATCATTTCATCAATTATATATTAGAAAGAAGGCTGCCCTTGCCATTATGCAAAAGAAAACAAGAGTTTTTTCCAGATATTGGGTTGGAAAGAAAGTCTTGCAACACTTTCTAAAACTATTTATAAAAATTTTCAAAGGAATAATGGGCAGGGCTTTGCATTTGTATATGCTGGAATGTTCTGGAAGCTTCTGCCCTCAGGGTATATAAGGCAGCTTCTGCCATTAGTTGACAGCCATGGCTCCGATCGAACAAGCAACTCTTTGCCCCATTGTCTACTACGAGTTCCTCCAAGGACACTCTGCGAGAGCTGCCGCAGACAACATCTGCGTTGCATTCAAGGGCAACGTCGTCCACTATTCCACAGTGTCTCGATGGTTGAAACGCTTCAAATCTGGTGACATGACCTTCAGAGATCGACCACGCTCAGGACGTCCATAGACAGTCGACAAAGCCCTGTGGAACGCCCTCAACGCGAAGCCGAACGCCACCACTTGCGAATTGGTGACTACACTTGGAGTCACCCATATGGCCATCGGCAACCATCTGAATGACCTTGGCTATCGGAAGGTTTACTCGACATGGGTCCCTCATCGGCTCGGCGACTCTGACAAAGCAAGCCGTGTCAGTGTCTGCGAATCACTGCTCCTTCGTCCGCACAGAAAGGACCTTCTGAAGGAAATCGTTACTGGAGATGAGAGCTGGGTCCTCTACGTCAACCATACTCGCAAGAGTCAGTGGCTTCCACGAGGAGAATTGCCGCCACACGAACCGAAACCAGGGTTCCACGAGAAGAAGGTTCTTCTCTGCTGTCGGTGGGATTCAGAAGGAATGTTGTACTATGAGCTCCTGCCAACCGGTACCACCGTGACTGCCGTCGTCTACGCTGCTCGACTTCAGAAGTTGGCTGGCGTCATTCAAAAAGAGCGTCCCAAACTTGTCGGTGGGATTCAGAAGGAATGTCGTACTATGAGCTCCTGCCAACCGGTACCACCGTGACTGCCGTCGTCTACGCTGCTCGACTTCAGAAGTTGGCTGGCGTCATTCAAAAAGAGCGTCCCAAACGCGACAAAGTTCTCCTTCTGCATGACAACGCTCGTCCACGTGTTGCGAAGATGACTCGCCAGACGATTTCGGAACTGGGCTGGGAAGTTTTACCCCATCCAGCGTATTCTCCGGACTTGGCCCCTTCCGACTATCACTTGTTCCGGGCCCTCAAGAATCACCTGCGGGACAAGGCACAAGACGATCGAGCACGGCTCGAAAATGATGTCGGCCGTTTCTTCGCTTCGCAATCGCCAGAGTTCTGGGCAAAAGGCATCGAGCAGTTACCCGTGCGTTATGAACATGTCATAGACAACAATGGTCATTACATTGTATACTGAAATTGCATTTCAATAAAGTTATAACATTTTCAAAAATTTGCGCAGTGTTGCAAGATTTTCTTTCCAACCCAATACTTTGAATATTTTTGTCAGCAAACACGGGGTATCTTCGGGAATAGCGATACCTACCCTACCACCATTCTCTTCGTTTCAAATTCATGAAGCCATTATTACGGACGCGAAACGCAATGTCCGTGAAACATTAGCACCTCGATAACTTTTGCAAAAATCAACGCATCGTAAAAAGTGCAGGTGAGTTCATCCATTTCCTCATTTTCTATGCTTGCGGAAAGTTCCATTCAATCCTCTCTTTGCGTTACTCCGGAAAATATTAATAAAAAAAACTACAATGAAATCGCCTCGTTTACCCTGAGTCTGACTTCAGGCCCGTTTCTCTTGAGAACTATCGAGAATGTGAAAAAAAATTGAACAAAATTTTACAGGCAATTCTTGGGACGATTGTCCCCAAGTATCAAAAGCCTGCGTGATTTCTCTTTTTATATTTATCGATTTGAACACACCCAGGGGTTGGCGGTCTGGGGATTTTTGTCACATTTCACCGCTCCTCTAACGCCCTTCAAACGATTCTTCGAAATCGCACTGCGTATCCGAGACGTGAGTGCCTGAGGAGTGATTTCATACTTGCATCATGAGTCTATTGCCGTGCAGCTCTGAATAAGAAGGGTTTCGCATGAAATGAAAGGGGATTCGGGCAAAGCAGACGACGCCCTCGCACTCCCCCGCGAAGTCCCTCCCTTCTTCCACCTTCCCGCACGTGCATCGTTTCGCCTGTTTCACCTCGGCTCTCATTCACTACCCTCGCCTTTTCAATGTTTCATTCCTTAAAAATCGAAGTCGGAGCTTCTCCTCCTCGGCTAGTGTCAGCGTTACCTTTGGTCAATGCAGTAGGTCACATTTAAACCTAAAAAGAATAGTCGATAGTAATAATAGTCGAGTACGAAGAAATGCATTCTGTCTAAATACTAGGTGAGGCAAATAAAAACGTGCCGCTCTTTGAAAGTCTGTGACACCTCTGAAACAACGAAGTTTCTTTCATACACACATCTCTATGCATCATTTGAACATCCAAAAATTATCGGCCGTCTATTTCGAGCCGTTTCCGCACACGAGTGATTTTACAAAAACGAACTGGAATTTTACCTTTGCACTCACACATGGACTCTGACGGGAGGACTTGCTCCGCTCACTCGGAATTAAAATTATTTTCAAGGGTTTTTCCTCTGCACTTGAGAATTCGCTAAGCAAGTCTCTGACTCGTCCTTAGGTTTGGCTAGTGGCTGACGCACAGCTCAGCGCCGTAGAGGAAAATCGACAGGACCAGTAATCATATAGTGACTGTAAAAAGTCTCATGGGCACCGAGGGACTTTCTTTACGATCCTGCGCAGACAACCTTTGCGTTTTGTTACTATGGAATCCACACAATTCTTATAGGGTCCATCATGCCTCACGTGGTAGCATAGATAAACCACTGAAGGCTTAACTTCGAGGGGTTTTCTATTGAGACCATAGCTCGGATCTGCCTACCCTCATCCTTTCTTCACCTCAATACAACCTTCTTAAAGGGGTTCTCTTCGGTGACATTCTTTTCACACCATTGCTGCAGACTATCCAGCTGCAAATGCAATGCTAACGGAGTGAGGGCAAAGAGAACCTAGTCGTTCGCGTATAAAATGCAGTTCCACTTCTGTTGCGGATAGGGAACGTTCGCGCTTTGAAGATCATATGCTATGTCGTCAATGAATAGTGTAAAGGCTAGAGGAAAGAAGAGAGCCTTGACGTACCCCTACATCGACAGGGCATGTTGCAGCCTTTTAAAGCGATTCTTCTTAACCCTAGAAGTGCCAACCTTCGGTAAATTCGACGTATGTAGGCCACCTGCTTCTGGCACTTCTAGGGTTAAGGGATAATTGTGAAGCGTCGTAGACAGCACACATTGCTAACAAAAACTTTGTGCTCATTCCTTTTGCCAACAGTTTCGTCAAGAGCATGCCCTACTGAATTCGATGAAAAATTATGTTAACACATTGCGTACCGGACAATTTACCACGTCGATCCGCCGCTCTGGTCTAAGCCTCAGTTTCCTTAGCCTTGGAGCTTTAGGCTATTACTTCTTTGGCCTTGGGCTAGGCAAAAGGACTCAAAAGCGGACAGTACTCCTCGTAAGGTATAGCATTCCCTCTTGTTCCACCCCAAGTAGCCATAGATGATCCAAAACTCGTCAATGGACAGTCCAGTTGTCCAGAGATGGGTATAAGTCCAAAGGCCGTCATCCTTGGATGTACATAGGATGCCATTGCCATGAATCGATATATTCTCACGTGTTATGAGCTTTATTCGAGCAGAATCTTCTTACATCGAACACTAATGATTTTCATCTCATTGAATGATGGTTTCATGGAATGGCGTTACGAGGATCGATCGTGGGATTCATTTGTTCTTTTTTTTCTTCCAATCTCCCATCTTCAATCTCAACCCAATAATGTCAATCACTATATGGAAAGTGTGACATTACAATTGGTCCAGTGCATTACATCTTGTAGATTTCAACAAAACGAACGAAACCAAGTGTCAGTCCTTTTTCGTGCAAACATTGGGCGTCCACCAATGGAACCTCCAAGGACAACTTTTAATGGTCTTCCATTGGATGTCCTTGGATGGAATCCCCGCCCCGTTGAGGCCTTCCATCTGACCTGACATCTAGCAGTTCCTTCAAGTAATTTAAAGTCCCTATAACATAAGCGAGGTTGCGCTCATCCCGCCGCTGTATATTTCCATATTTCCAAAATGCTCTCCTTTTTTGGAGAGGTGGGCTTACGAAGTTCATCCCATCCACAATATCCTATAGTTACTTATTTAAGTTTAACATTCAAATGAATATGGGTAATTTCCTAATAAAACCGAACGCAAGCGCTGGTACCTATGGTAGCACTCCAGGTGAAGTCACTGAGAGAGAAGTCGGCAAAAAAGTCGAAACTAGTAAGTCGTAGTAGTAACAGTCGAAGTAGATTGTGAACTAGCTTGGTCACAATTGTTTTTCTTTTATCCCTTAGGTGCGATACCGATTGCGGTAACCTATAGCTGTCCACCCACAGCAAGATACAGATGCACGAAGTGATCCCTGAAGCTACATCATGCCGGGCATTCAAATGATGACTTCGCCAAGCGAGTTGGATGTCACTTATCAACAGTGACCAGGTGCCTATTCCAGATTTGCAAGCTATAAGTTACAAGTGGAGTAGCTGTAATTTGTATTTTCTGTTCCATAGTTTGCGCCAGTGCTTGCAAATCGATAAGTACAAGGCATTGCAGCCTGGTCATATTGCAAGTTCTGTGTGCATTCCAGAGCTCTCTATCGAGTAGCACTCGTGGAGTGACAGCAAAAGTGGTTTCATCAATGAATGCGTATGGATATCTCATATAACGAGGAGCTGTACATGAATCGAATACGCCATATCTTGGTCTAAAAGTCAGAGTCTATGTTTTCCAGATAGTTGGGCATATTCGATTGCACCCTTGGTGGGGAAGCTGTTACGAGTCCATTGGTAGTGCACCAGAGTCCACACTTAGATGGCGGTACCACGGGTTAGCCGACATGCACAATGTCTCCAAAACGTCAGTGTACAGATGCGTTCACGATGTTGTGAACGCCATGAATTCAACCCTTTTGTTGTTGGTCAGTCCACATGGACTGACCAACAACAGATGTTGCCGAAATTGCAATTAAGTTATATGGGCTGACTCAAGTGCGACCCGGGATGCCCTACGTTTGTGGTTGAGTTGATGGCACTCTGAACAGAAGTTTTTTTTTCCCGAAGGAGAGTGAGCACAGCCAATGTGCTCTCCGGGAGTGCCATGTTCTCTTGTGGACTTGTGAACTTTGACCCTACAGTAATAAAACAAGCGTTTACTAAAATATTTTCAAGAAACAGAATTTACAAGTACTTGTAAATAAGGGCTATTTCTTGTAAACTTGTGAACTTGTAAGCTTCGAGTTATAGTCCCCAGGTCGTCCTTCTGTTTTCAGCAACCCAACGACAACTTTCCTAAACGTATGAGGTCCGTAATGCAGGCAAAAGGAGCCCATTTTGAATAATGAAATATATATTTTTGGGAGCTCTTTTGAATGACATAAAGCAATCATATTTGTCACTTTATTTGAAAGAGAAGTTACAGTTTTCGTGATTTGCAGGACGTTTGGCCCACCCTGTATATCGACCGTCGTGAATGGCTAAGTCCTTGAATATGAAAAGGTGATCTCAGTATCTCATCGAGATTCTTTGAGTCACATGAATCAGCATGAGGAAGATTATACACCCAACAAGTAGGAAGACGGCCAATCTGAAAGATCCAAAGAGAGCCTTAGCTCTTAGACTAAACATTTCGTCACACCGGCATAAGCTTGGAGAAGGATATCTGCGAAATCTGCTTCTTTCCTTTTACACTAAATCGTGATCCGGAGACCTTGATCAGATGCGACAAGTGTGGCGGGTGGTCGCACAACAAATCCATCAGGAATCACTTACGGGGCATAGGAAACTAGGACGTGGATCTTACAGTTTTTTTCACGTCGTCCGTGTTTCTTCGGAATGGCACACGGTACAATTGCTTCATTGTGCACCGATACATGCCCAGGATTCTGGCGATTGCGGAGGTACTCAGTGTTAGTATACCTGAGAAGGTTTCCTCATCGTCAGCGATCATTTGTTGAATTTCCGAAAGTCGCAAGTCATTCCTTTTGCGAACCGTCGCCACAATGGCTTGTTCTTGGTCTGCTGTCAGCCTGCTTGGCCTTCCTCCAGCACGAGCCTTACGGGTTGTCCTACCCGAATGAAGTTGCGCAGGATCACAATGGTATACAATTCAAATATATAATAAGACTTGTCGAGAAATGCGAAATTTCTGCCCAATACCTGCTCGTCTTCCGAAAGTTAGAGATTATGGCGGAGAATGTGGACTTGGAGAGATGAGGTTGGACTCCTTGCCCTGCTTCCATTTTTCCAGTTTTGAAAATCATACATTGAGCACCTAACCTTCGATTCTCAGCACCTACTTTGACACCTAACACAATCTAGGTTCGGTTATTGAGCAGAGGTGTGAACGAGGGGCGTTTCAACAGTGCTCAACCGAGATTAATTCAGCCTAGATTTTCTCCTGAAAAAGCCATCAATCAGCCCATAGAGATAATTTAATGTGAGCCAGATGCTGGAGGCACTGTCGTCCATTGGCATAGGTTACAGTACTGTGCAAAGACCAGGTATTTTCTTTGGGCAGAGGTTACATAGACTGTCTTCAAATTTCCCTTCTTTGACGTTTCATTGCAAAGTAGCCAATATACTTCTAACAAGGTCGTGGGTCATAAGCATATCAAATGCAGCAACGGTACAAACTTGTGACGTTTGCACCATCTTATTATGAAGGTCCAGATTTTTCTTCATGTGAATACGTTGAAAATACACCTACTTTCTTCAGGTATTGTTTATATGAACGCCTTTCTAATGGCGCCTGAAGACAGATAAGAAGGAACGATAAATTCTGCAAAGGGTGGGTGGGCTATGACGGTTGATTAGGCAGTAAATTTTGTCCATTCCTTTCCGCTCGACGTGGCAAATGCTGCATGCGAAATTACATCCAAATCTGACGTATGATACTCTTGAACCACTGAAAACGCGCAGGATAGAATGAACTGTCTGTATGGTATGAATCGTAGGTGTGCCTGATACAAAAACTTTTAGGGTCCAAATCGAGTGAAAAGATAAGCTTATGGAAGAAACTATTCTGGACAATACTCATTACATTAACTTTTGCTTGATTGCAAACGTATCCCGCACCCCCCTCTTCTTTACGGCTTGAAACGGAAAGTAGAACATTTTTGCTCTACAACAATATTCCTGCGATGTTGGGTCCATCAGGATGAAAACACTGGAGATCGTAACATGAGATTTTCGCATTAGCAATATCTACGAACGCATGTTGCAACTGAAAATAATTTTCATTGATGAACGCTCAGGATCAAGGCTCTTGGATATTACCGAATAGCAGTTAGCAATTTAGCATGATAACGGCTTTTTACTTTTTCGACGCAAGAAGCCCTTTCATCGTTTGAGAAGAAGCATGCAGTTCTGACATCTCTGGACGATGAGACGAGCTCTGTGATTGGTTGGAGAGGACTTTCTCGAGGATGTCGGTTGTCATCAAAAGCCATGCATCCATCGCTGGCACCCACCCAATAGCTCTTCTTGTTCTTTTCCGTACGTTAAGTTCCGAAAGAGGTACGTCAAGATGTGAAAAACGCACTTCGAGTTTCGCTTTTCCTACGTTAACAACGAAATCGGGTGTTAAGTTTTATGAAAAATTTGCAGAGTTTTGGGATTTGTTCAAATAGTTTTGAAAACGGAAACGTAGTTTTGAGAAACGAACGTTAGCAATTGGGAAAAACTGTAATTATATTTGTCTCACGTGTGAGTCCTTCAAATAAGCTTTCTTCGTGGAGAATCAGCCCAGTCAGTGCTCGTATGTAATATTTGTTGCATTTACATGTACGATAGAAGACCATGACAAAACCCAGACATAAAATGCTCAATGTTTGTCTGGTAGTCAAGACTGCAAAGTAAGACTCAAGAGCTCGCACTGTGATCCATATAGGGAATAAAGCGAATCTTCTTTTCATTTCTTAATCATAGCCATTGTTCGTGGACCGTAAGAGATAAACGGAAAGATCGAAGTACTCTAAAATGAAGAAAGTAAAATGAAACAAAGAAATATACAAGTTGCAGCCAAAACAGAAAAGGAAATAATAAGCCGCCAACTTTAGTTGGGGGGGGGGGGGGGCCAGAGGGTCTTTTCAATTTCTTAACGTTGGAAAAAGAATTGAGATGGGGAATAAAGGATGGTCAGTCCCTGAACTGGAGCGGGTAGAAATTTCCATTTGTTTTGCCATTGATCCAAATTTTATTTGCATGACAATTGCTTTTTCAGCTACCGTCCAGTATTCCAATTTCATCTCGAATTCATCTCTCGATAGTGGAAGATTTTGGATTTTGTAAACGAAAATAAAATGCTTTCCCACTAGAAGAAATACTGTACGTTCATTGATTCGAACTGCATTCTCTGCATACCCAAATATGATGTCTAGTGGGGGTACTTTTAGCTGAGTGGGAAGGTGACACAACGATGACACATCCTTCCAAATATGTTTAACCGAAGGGCATTCAAGCACCATATTCAGTATCGATGATTCAGGTTCGAGGTTTTGGCATAGCACAGAATGGCGCTCTAAGAAACAATAAAATGTATAATGTATTTAAGGCATACTTATTCGAGCCTCATCTAATGATGCAGTTAAACTCCCCTTTGTTAATAATCAGGCAATTCTTGCGACTATAGCGCTCGCACCTTAAGAATTAAGTTGATTAAGTTTTATCAAAAAAGGTCATAGACTTCAAATGACTTCCATCACGATTACCAGATAAAATTTAACATTGCAAAGTTTAATGAATTTCATTCCCGTCTATGTTGGCCACATTCATCTTTTACAATATACAGGGAATAAAAGTCTTATGACAAATGAGTTCATACTGATGTATGTTCTCATGGGATCCTTGGGCATGTGGGAATTTTAATACTATCACATAGGTGGGTCACTCGTGGATTTTTTACAATAATTAAGCATGATAGATTTACATGTTCCTGAGGATGAGGTGAAAAGAAACATTGAAGCCGTTCAAATTCTTGTAGAAAATGTATTTTTTGTCAAGTCATCGTTAAGTAGAAATATATTTTAAAAAAATCCGAATTATGAGCAATATTCGTCAAATACTTTGGAAATTCGTCACTCATGTACCGAGAAAGGAGAATATTCACTCTGGCGTTCAGTAGGCGATATTTATTCTGGGGCATTTGAAGATGATACCCAACCCCAAGGCGCTCCGATAGAGCAGCTATAGAAGCTTCTTCTCGCTGAAGCTTCAGAGCCAGGTCTCGCACCGAAGGATGGACGTTGTTCACGGAGCCGCTGAAGACATTGTCCCATCCCTCCACGGAATTGTTGGTTCTGAGGACGGCAACGGTACGCAGGAACTGCGACCACAATGAAGCCTGGCGGCGGCGACCACCTCTTCCAACATTTCCAATGTAGTTACATTCGAAAGAGTCAACAACCGGGTCGAGCTCTTGAGCGAATACCTGGAGCATCAGTCAGGAGCCTTGAACGCTGGAATGATATCTCCTTCAGGGACAAATGCCAACGCAGACAAGCATTTGTACCATAAAGCAAACCCTATGTCGTCAGCATAGAGTTTGTAGTCCAGCTTCTTGCTCATTGCAGTTATGAATAAGTTGGTTATGGAATTTCACACGAAAAAGGGACTGAACACTAATCAAATCCAGCAGGAATAGAAAGCTTTATACTTTGATGAGGCCCCTTCAGGGCGAACAGTGGAGAGGTGGCATCATGAATTTCTGCATGTCAAGAGCAATCTCCAAAATAATGAACACAGGACGACCTACAAGCATCACGGCAGAATCGGTGGCAGCAGTTCAGCGCTCGGTGACAGATCTGAGTACTTATGTTTGCAGGGATCCCGTGCAGTGCAGAAACGCTGGCAAAATTGGATTGATATCGGCGGTGATTATGTAGAGAAATTGTAAATATATTGCGGCTTGCAAATGACTCTACTATTTGGTCAAAACTTTTTTAACCATCCTCGTAGGAAACTAGAGCAGCAAAGGCTTGAAGGCCCCGGGGCTGAGGCTACGGCAGCAGAATTCTTGGTCAAGTAGGCCGAGTTGATGCATGCAACTGGTTCAAGATTGAAGTAGGTTTGAGCGGCCATCCGATTCAGAAATAGGCATGCTGAATCAGTCCCCTCATGACACGTACCTTCTTCATTGAACTTATTCTGTTGTGCGTCATACAACAACTGCTTGTTTTCCTTCCCGCTTCCTAGAAAGAAGAAAACGTAAGCGTCGTATTACTCTAAGCATCCATCCCCAAGCTATGGGAAGCTAGCTTGGACAATCTCTGTCAGGTTTCGGTTCGGGAGCAGGGTTTCTTCCCCCATGCCTAGATCGGTCTGGGTGGGACTGACACCGTGGTCACCATGGAGACTTAACACCCCCCCCACATGCTAGCGGGTTTTATTAAGTGTTCTATTATTATTATTATTATGCAAGTACGAAGTGGACTCAATTGCGTACACCAGTCAAGGAGTGTTTACTAGTAGTGGGGTGCATTCACCCATCGCCTAGATTGGTTTGCGTGGGACAGGCACCATTGGTATCTCCTTTTCACTATCTATGCGCCTTGGTGGGAAGCAGGCCACTGCCCTACCAGGTAATCACTTAAAAAGCCGTTCTTTATTAAACATAGGACTTAACATTATATAACATTATATATATAACATTATATATATAACATTATATATATATAATAAATCCTTCCACGGCACCTGCCGGTATTGGAGATATGAAGGGGGATGAA